GCAGCTTGCTCTGCTTCTCTGTCCCTGGGAAGCCAGAAAGAGACGACGAGGCACTCAGTGGCCTTTACACTGGGCCCAGGTGTGACTGGCTCCAGGCAGAGTCCTTTGAGGAAGTTACTCTGAAAAATGGAGGGAGAAGGAACTCAAAATCCTGAACAATGAAAACCTGCACTTGGAAAATTATGGACGCTTCTCCCAGCTCCCCACACCCCTACCCCTATCGGACTGTGTGTTATTAAGTCCTGGAAATGCTTCTATGTGTGAATTCTATTTTTGTATTCATATGTTGAGATGGGCCTTGTGGTTTCTCTGTCTTCAGAGCACACTTCTCATAGTTACTATTGTTATTTTTATTGTCATGACTGCCCGGAGTCTGGTGAGGATAGTGCAGTGATCTACCACACAGAATCTACAAGGAAAGGGATGAAGTTAATATTTGCATCACATAATTATATTGTTATTGTATCTGTGTATTTCTGTACTAAATTGACTGATGCCATCTGCATGAACTGAAAATGAAGAGCCTTCCCCCTCCATTCCAGTAGGGAGAAGGCCACGCTAGCTGGTATTTTCTAGGAGGGAGGGAAATGGGCAGCAGGGGAAGGAAGGAGTCAGAAGGCTTTGTCTATGAAGCTGAAATTGCTCATTAAATTACGAAAGTCCTGCCCTGCAGCCTTCTGAGACTGACCTTCTTGGAACTTCAAGAGGCTCCCGAGTCAGAAAAAAACCTGCTGGCAAAGCGCAGATGGGCATACAGGCAGCCCTGCCCCTTTCCCACAATAACGCTTGATATCTGTAACAGCAGCTCTTGGCCTGGTGCCTATCTTCATCCCAAGCCACATACCAACCTATATTAAGGGCACTGTGCTCTTGCCTGGGGGGCCGGACTGTGCTGTGGGGGCTGCAGCTTCTGGGGAAGAGGGGAGGCCCTGGGAGTCTGGGTGTGCTGCAGAAGGCACCTCTGACCACAGTTCCACTCCCCCAGTGACATCATGCCTCTGCCCAAAAGCAGACTCCACTGGTGCTGGAGGGAGATGGGAAAAGGCAGGGGTGCTTTAAAGATGGGAGGGACATTACCCCACCTCACTAGGAAGACTAGCCTCTTGTTTGGGTGGGCCCCTCAATCCATGCTATAGACTAGGGGGCTTAAGAGAATAGGTTAGTCATCAGTCCCATCTTGCAGCCCAGGCCCTGGAGTGGGGGCCTCCTTGCAGCCTCTGGCCCCTGCACAAACGCCCAGGCCTGAGAAAACCTGAAACCCCATTGCTCTGCCCCAAGCCATCATCTCCACTGACTGAGAAGCATCACTAGAGCACCCACTTGGTGCTGAGTGCTGGACTGGGAGGGGTGTGTGAATGAGACCTCCACAGCCCCCTTCTCCCCACGGGTGCACACAGTCTCTGCTCCCCTGTCACTGCCACCCATGCCCTGAAGACCCCCTCTTCCAGCCTGGACTTTTTCCTGGCCCCCCACGCCCCCTCCCATCTCCCATCTTGAGCCCTATTTCCGGCCTCAGGGATTTCACTCTATATTCCTCTCCCAGGTTTTTCCTCTAAGTCTCATACTTCCGCTGGTCTTTGGGCCTCTGTTTCATGATTTCCCAAACACGTTGAGTTGAAAAGGGGCTTCAAAAAAGGGTCTAGTCGAGCATGTCCCAAAATGGTGTCCTGCAGAACAATTATCCCATGAGATCCTCCATGACAGTGGCCAAATAAATACGGGGCCTTCTGCCCCGAGCCCCATGGAGCTGTGCACTGCCTGCTTGCTTGCCTTGTGAAATCCCTGAGAAGCCCACAATGATCTGTCATTAATTTGTGTGCCTTATGTGCTACATGATTCTCCAAAACATGTGGTCCTCTATCCCTTTTTTCCCATGGAGCAGTTAACATCTCATGTTTCTAATGTTTTGAAGAGTATACTTTGGGAAAATACCCAGAGATTAATTCTTTCCCTTAACACGTGAGATTAATGTATTAATCTCTGCCTTCTAAGCTTGTAAACTCTGGAGCGTCCTGACCTCCCAGATGGAATAGCCACATCTTGACTTCCCATGGCCAGCACCAGAGCAGAACCTGCCACCCCAGGGCCAGGGCTGCCAAGCTGCCAGTTTGCTGACCCTTGGGCCTGGACTCTGCCCTGCCTCTGGCTCCTGTCCTCCCACACCCAGCCTGCCTCTCCAGCCCACTTCCTGTTCCTCCTGTGTCTGGCATGGTCCTCCATGGAGGGCTAGGATTCACCCCAAGCCTGTGGCTGTCCTGCAGTCCAACAGACTAGTTTCTAAGGAAGGGTGAAGGGCAGGGAGGGGGCAGAATAAGAGAGGAAAACAGCCCTTTTCACGGTCTTAAATGGCCACTGTGCTTCCCTTTCACTCAGCTAAGCCCAGGTCAGGTCCCAGACACCCCTAGATCCATTAATTGGAGGAGTGGGCAGGTAGCAGGCATCAGAAGCCTGGACTGCCCAGTGCCAGGCTGTCCTCCCCGTGGGCTGGCAGGGGCCCCACATGCAGCTAGAGTTAGGCAGGCCCCAGAGCACTCACTCACATGCCTCTGCCAGTCCAACAAACTGAAGCTTCCCAGCCAGCCACATCATCTTCTTAGAACTAAAAGACAGTTGCTCAAGAACAGCCCCGTGGCCGAGTGGTTAAGTTCGCGCGCTCCGCTGCAGGCGGCCCAGTGTTTCGTTGGTTCGAATCCTGGGCGCGGACATGACACTGCTCATCAGACCACGCTGAGGCAGCGTCCCACATGCCACAACTAGAAGGACCCACAACAAAGAATATACAACTATGTACCAGGGGGCTTTGGGGAGAAAAAGGGAAAAAATAAAATGTTAAAAAAAAAAAAGAACAGCCCAGTTTCCATCCATGTAAAGGATCCACCCTAGCCTCACCCAAGTCCTGGTCTGCAGGGGCTCCAAAAGGAGAAAACTTCAACACACACCAAGATAAAGCCCCAGGGTTTTCTGAGACTATAAACTTGGCCCTGGTGTGGAGAGAGAATGAGTGGGTGGAGCTAGTTTTGGATCCAATACCTGATAAGGAGCTTAAGGATTGTTGGGCCCCCACCCTGGCTCCCCTTCCGGACTCGCCCACCCACTTGGTGTACAGGAGATGAGGCAGTGGCAGTTGTGGCCCTGTGCCCACTTCCTACTGCCCAGCCCATGCCTGCCTTTACCATGGGTACCGCTGCTGGGCCCCTCTCCCTTAGAGGCCACGTCCTAAGGAAGCCTTTCACTTTCCCTGCTGGATTTTCATTAAGGAAACTCCTGGTTCCTCAATGTAGCCTTTAAAAAAACCATTCTCCACTGAGGATGGGAAACGCTGCACAGTCTCCAGGGAAGCCTTGAAAGGGATGCCTGCCCTGATCCGTAGACCAGGACTCCACCAGTCAGATAGTAGCTTGCACTCAGGCGCTCTGCTGAGGGAGGTACTCAGGCGACCAGTCTTGACCTCTATCTCCCAGGGAGAAAAATGACTGGAGTGTGCCCTAATCCATCCCAATGGGGTATGTTTCACCACCATGAGCATCCCATTGGGCAGAGAGGGAAGACTAGGGCAAAGGGGCAATTGTGGGCTGGTGAGGATGCCAAAGTGAATCAACCGACGCCTGGAGCAGAGTCCAGATGTCTGTGGTCAAATGGAGGAGACTGTACTAGGGACACTCAAAGCCCAGATTGGCCTGTTAGGAGGACAAGGGAGGCTCTGCTTGCACAGATAAAGGTAGAGAAGAATGACGCGACAGACCAGCAGCTTGCTTTATGGACATGACCTCATCTGTTCGGTCTGCCCCATCTCCACCCCAGCTGATAAGAATCTGGTGCTATTTCCTGTAGTCCAAGGGTTTCAGACAATGGTGTGAACGGCTGGCCCTACTGGAAAGGACATTGTTCAGGGAAGAAAAAACAACACACCAGCACAAAGCCAGGGCAGGACCTGTCTAAATGTAAGGGGTTGTTTACAAACCCATGATTTCCAAGGTGGGGAACACAATGGAGAATTGTTTTCGGCGAGGCTGGAGTCCCCTCTAGAATGCTCCTGGGGGCTGGGGATGGCTTTGATGGCCCAGACAGGTCTCAGATGCTCTGAGAGGGATGGACACTGATGGCGTGGATGCCTTCCTGTTTATCAGAGGTGCACAGGGGGCAGGGTCAAGGAACAAGTTTACACCAAAGACAAAGGGGAGGAGCTCCTGGGCCTCACTCCTTTCATCAGGGCCTCACACTGTCACACTGCTCAGGGACCCCAGGGTTGGAGGGGGTTTGCTAGGGAGAAGTACGAACAGGTTTTCGTCTTCTGAAAAACATCAGCTCTTTGGTTTATGGCCTCTAATTGTCATGTTGCTTTTTAGAAAAATGCAAAAGACATGACACTCTCGCAAATAGTTGACCCCTCTGGAATGGGGCTCCCTGGCTTAGTTACTAGGGAGACTTCTCACACTTGGGGGCCCTCATGATGCCACAACTCACCTCCAGCCAGCCTGGGAACACACAGGGAGCTGTCACTGTGTGGGACACACACGCATTGTCACTGGCATCAGGGCCAGTGGAAGTGCTGTTTCTCATAGCAACCTCCTGCCCTGCCCACAGGAGGTTAGAGCCTTTGAACCACCAACCAAAGGCTCTGATGTCAGCGTGTGTGTGTGTGTGTGTGTGTGTCTGTCTGTGTGTCTGTGTGTGCGTGCGCGGCAGGAGGAAGATGCAGAAGAGGAACATAACCACATCATCCTTTCCCTTTGGGACTGGCAGTCCCCATTTTGGGGGGTAAGAGGAGGGCAGTTGGGGTTAGAAGGGCCATTTTGGGTCTGGAGAGACCATGAAGGCAGTTCTGTCTGAGGATTTGACCCATGATGGAAGTGTCATTAGTAACTCTCATACTAATCTCTAAACCCAACAGGAGCACACTTCGTGAATAAACTCGAACGGATGTCTTTAGAACAAGTGAAGATCAGTAAGTCCTGTGCAATCCCAATATCAAAACAAGCTTTCATAAACCATTCTCAACCTTCCAGGTCTGAAGGGTTATAATCTTCCTCCTCAACATGTTAACAGTGCCCTCTGGTGTTTGAAGGCAAAACAATAGGCTTAGGAATACAGGGTATGAGCACATCCATCAATTCAGTAGACATCAAACTGCCTCTGGATGTGGGTCCCAAGCCAGATACCACGAGGGGAAGAAAGGTTAATAAGACGGATGGTCCCTGCCGTTAAGGGGTTTCCAATCTAGTGGGAGAGACAAATCCACAACCATAGGAACAGATGGAGAAATGACACGAGCCCTAATAAGGGTATAAGCAGAGCCCAGTGAGAGTGCCTAGGGATGAAAAAGAGGCCCTTAGGTGGGGTTCAACAGGCTGAGGGTAGAGGTTAGGACTCTTTAGACTGCAAACCCTATGCTCAGGGCCCAGTATTCCAGCGTAGCCAGGGCAGAGTGCTTGCAGGTGGGGTGTCCTGGGATATGCAGCTGTGTGGGACCATATTTGTGGAAGGCTTTGGATGCCAATCTCAGCAGGGGCCATCCTAAGTAAAGAGCTAGCAGATGTTTTCTGGTAATTAGCAGAAGGAAAAAGGGTGGATGTGTCAGCAAAGCAAAGGACATAGGAAACCTTATGCAGAGAGAGGACTTTTGCAGCAGTCCTACATGGCACAGAGGTTTGAGCTGAGCACTGGCAATGGGATGGAGTGGAAGGCAAACATTTGCCAAACAGTAAAATTGACAAGAAAGAGAGTGGAGAAGCATAAAAGGAAGCAGAAGGAGATTCTGAGGTTTCTGGCCCTAGTTTACGGCTCCTACAAAGTAAGGATTAGAGGAAGAATAGCAGATGCTTTGGGTAATTTTTATTTAAGATCTATTTCTACCCTCCCCAAGTGAACTATCTGTTCTAGGTCCTAAGCTATAAAACAGTAATTAATTCTAATAGACATGTCATTTGTGAAAACAGGTATTTTAAATATGCAAGATGAGCCTGGGGCATCTTATAGTGCCAAAAAGTAAAGACATGTTCAAAAAATGAAACAAAACACACAATAATAGGGGTATGTGAAAAGAACACAAGAGCTCCCAACGCCCAAAACCAGAAGAATTTGAGCAAGAAAATAAAGTAGTATTGGATTATAACCCAAAGTATACTATACATATCCATGAGTCCATACTGATATAAATAAATGATTGAAAAAATAAGTAAGTGGGAGAGAATAGGTAAATTTCCCACACAGAATTCCAAATAATTTAAGTAGATACTCTGTCCTCAAGGAGGGAGGGGGCATAAATCCCTACTCATTAATTGTGGGATACACAGAGTAACCTCCTTCTAAAAGGTACAGTATGGAAAGGGGGGAAAGGAGTAACTTTACAGTGGAAAAACCTGACAGACACTACCTTGGCCAGATGATCAAGATCAACATCAACAGAGATGTCATGCTGATAGTATGTAACTTCAATATGATACAATGAAAATGGCACTTTATCTATGTGGTCTTCCTCCCCGAAACCCATAACCCTAGTCTAATCATGAGAAAAACATCAGAAAAATCCCATTTGAATGGCACTCTACAAAATACCTGACCAGTACTCCTCAAAACTGTCAAGGTCATCAAAAACAAGGAAAATCTGACAAACTGTTACAGCCAAGAGGAACCTAAGGAGACATGACGACTCAATGCAATGTGGTATCCTGGATGCGATCCTAGAATAGAAAAAAGACATGAGGTAAAAACTAAGGCAATCTGAATAAAGCATGGCCTTTAGTTAATAATAATGTATCCATATTGGTTCATTAATTGTGACAAATGTACCATATTAATGTAAGATGTTACTAATGGAGGAAACTGGGTTTGGATATATGGGGACTCCCTGTATCACCTTCACAATTTTTCTGTAAATCTAAAACTATACTAAATTAAAGGTTTACTTAAGAAAAAAGCCCAGTTATTTAGTGGAGAATGACTGATTACGCCCAGATGAAGAATTGAACATTTCAAAGGTGGACTTTCCAGCCTACAAGAATGGGGTTGGCTATTAACATCAATGGAGAGGAAAGTTACAAAGATTAAGAAATAGTTGATAGGGGTGTGCGTGTGTGTGTGTACACGTGCACGCACATGTGAACACACGTGTGCACTGTTCTGCTAGGTATCTATGAGGCCAACTGCTCACAGAGGTTGGGCTGATGAATGTCTGGGTGACAAAAAGCACCCCCTATTCCCCACCCTCACCACAAGCTCCACCTCCCACTGACTGCAGCTGGAGTCCAGAGGGCACTATTAAGAGACCATTACTTTCAGTTAAGATGGTGTTTCTCACCTTTGAGTAGTATACTAATGGACTCTTTTTAAAGGAAAAGATACTACCCAACATGTCTGAGAATATGCCTGGTGACCCAAGTTATAGAAACCCTAGATTAAGAAACTAAAGTCTTAATCTTGGAAGTGTCTTTCAGTTGTGAATCATCACTGCAAGAGTTGAGTCTTTAGGATAGGAAAAATATTAAATTAAAATCCACAATTTAAAAACTCTCTTGTCACTAGCAGAGCTCTGACAAAGTGTCCTTGGATGCCCAGGTTAAGAAGGACAGCAGTAAGTCATCAAACTATGGGAGAGGAAACGAAGAAAAAAGCATAGTCGTGGGGAGCCCTGGGGTGACAGCTGTGCAGTAGGCCTAGTGAACAGCCAGATAAGAAGGGGCAGGCTCTGGGCGGTCTTCCAGAAAAGAAGTGCAACTGGTAGTGATTTGATGTCTGGCCTATGAAGAAAACTGTATTTTGAGGGAATTGACCATATGGAACATTTGGAAGACGTAGCCATAGTTGCATAGCAAATTGAGCAAATAAAAAAGAGGCAGGTATTCATTTCAGGAAAAAGACTATGTATAGGAGAGGAAAAATAATCATAGTGTACTGCCTGACTCAGTAGTAAACAGCATTTACATAGTCATAATAATGTAAACACCGAAGGTTAATTTAACAAAAATTGTGATGCAATTAGAAAAGCAGAGAGAATGAAAATGGGAAGGTTTTAAAGATGGTAGATCTTTATGTAACAATAGGAAGTCAACAATGTCTAAGATTAATAAACTAAGAAATAGCTTTAAAACTAGAAAGTAGTTGCCTTTAGGGAATAGGACTCAGGGTAGGGAAGGGTGAGTCAAGAGAATATTTTTCATTATAATCCTTTTAGTACTTCTTAAGACATCTTAAAGTCTATGTTACTTTGCCTATATACTTTGATAATAAGAAAAAGACACAAATCCCCTCCTCCCCCTGTGATTCCAAGTGAATCTAGTGAAATCTGAAGGTGATCACTGTGCATACCTCGGATGTAAGTCTCCATGGATCAGCAACATTTGAACTGAGAACCCTGTCCTCCACCATTAGCGATAATGACTCAGGGAGACCCTGAGAACTCTGTATCTGGCAACGGTCTTGAATTTCTCCCACTAATCCAAATCCCACATAACCATTAAAAGCAAACAAATGTGAGATCGGTTCTACTCAATTTCTCCCAAGACCTTCCACCAGCTTCCCATCCTAGATGCCTTCTTAACGTGACTGCCCTGGCTTGGTTCCCTTACCTGAGATGGAAATACCCGAGCCACTAGGCAGTGAGGGTTTGAGTGGAGGTGTGCCTTTACTCGAGCTGAAGACCATACTGCCTGGAGTGAGTGGAGGCCTTTCTGCTCCTTGTGAGCATGGCAGTCCCTGGCCTGTTTGAGTCCAGGGCCCTAAGTTTTGTAACAGTGACCTATTCTCAGTCCAGTGTGGATTCCTTTGCTGGCTCACCTCCCTGGTGAGAACCTTCGTGTTTATTTGCACAATGATGAACTCTCTGTCTCTGTAAAGTCAGTTTCCCTGCAAACTGCTTCCCTCCAAAGCAACATGTCGATGTTCTAAGTTGAAAGTTCTACATTTAATTCACTGAATTTTATAGATTAGAAGGGTGAGTTTTCCTATGCCCTTACTCTACCCTCCAGATTCCTTAGTATGCTAGATAAATTCCCTAGTGAATTTATAAGGAGACACTAATGGAGAGAAAACCTTTATTTGCATAATGACAAGCATGAGTGAAGTAGGAAGAGGCATATGAGAATCAGATTAAGGTGGAAGAATCTCGGTAAAAGAAGAAAGGAAAAAAGGGCCCTCTGGGAATCAGACAGAAAGAGCAGAGGTGCTCTCATACCATAAACACGTTCTGTGGTTGGCGTCTGGACTCTGCTGTGTCCTCACGCTCCCCTGAGACTTTTCTTTCTTTGGTTCATAGTCTCACTGTTGGCCCCTTTCCTTGTCTCCCAGTCCCAAAGCACTCCCTCCTCCAGACCCGATGGAGGAGCACAGCTTCATACCCAAATGTTCTTGGCAAGGCTACTCAGAAGCTGTTACTTGGATTTTTTGCAGCAATTAGTGATTTTGACACCCTTGGACCGCCAGGAGTGGCCCCTCCTGCCACCAGAGGATTCCGGTGTTTCTAATATGGAAGGTCCTGGCCAATCAGTCCAAGAAGGGCTCAGATTCTCTTCCAGGCTAGTGTCTCTGCAGAAATGCCCCCCGGAGTGCAAGGTGCTGCTGCAGCAGAGGCTGTCACCTGAGTTTTCAGGTGTTTAGTCTGCGGTGGAAGAAAGGTGGGAGAGGACAACTCAACCCTCTGTCTCTCCCAGGTGCAGGTCCATAAGCCCCTTCCTAGCCACTTTCCTTTCCAAACTAAAGGCACCAACTAAAAGTCCCCATCTGGGGGCATGCCCTTCTCCTTTTCCAGGAACCACAAGTCCCCCCCGCCCTGGCCCTCCCTGCCCAGTTCCCTCCAGTCCCACCTGTGGCTTCTGCAGAAGATGCACACTCCTCACACTCCCATTTTTTACTGTTGGATCTAAGAGAGGAGCAGTCCCTATGAGTTCCATGGGATCCGCACGTAGCACACAGAATGAGGCACCACCTCCTACAGGAAGAGCCAAGGAAGGGTTGTGGGGACAAATATAACTACCACTCTCTGGATGTTTGCTACTGGCCAGGCCTTTGCTGAGGGTTTCCCAGGCTTTTTTTTTGAGGAAGATTAGCCCTGAGCTAACTACTGCCAATCTTCCTCTTTTTGCTGAGCAAGACTGGCCCTGAGCTAACATCCATGCCCATCTTCCTCTATTTTATACATGAGACGCCTACCACAGCATGGCTTTTGCCAAGTCGTGCCATGTCCGCACCCAGGATCTGAACTGGCGAACCCTGGGCCACCGAGAAGTGGAATGTGCAAACTTAACTGCTGCGCCGCCAGGCCGGCCCTTCCCAGGCATTTTTTACTGTACATTTTACCCAGGATGGATGTGTGGCTGTCCCAGGACCCCACAGTCAGGTACACACTCGAAAGGTAGATTTGGAAAGGAACTGGCCCGGGGTGTCTCTCCCCTGGGCACAAGGAGAAGCAGACCCTGCAGGGAGACCTGTTCACTTGCACATGAATGAGTCCTGGGCTGGTCAAGAGCGGGACTTAGTAATTGTGTTCACCCTGAGGTCTGCAGACAAAAGTGAATTTCTTGCTCCTAATAACTGTGCTAAGGTCTGACTCTGAGATGGCACTGATGAGAGATCTTTCTAGCTAGGAGCCTTTCCCTACCCTTCATCCTCAAAGCTGTCTCTGCCTTGTTCATACAGACAGATGGGGGCATCACAATGCTGATAACGCTGATACAACTCCGAGAAAGCCCCTGGCTCGAGTTCCCAGGCAGCATCTCTGCAGTGGGAGAAGAAACAGTGAGTAAGGAAAACATAATTGGTTGGTGAAACCTTTGTTCACTTGGGAGGAAGTAGGAAGAACTCAAGGTAGCACAGCACAAGAGGTCAACAGGCTGCCTGAGTACTTTCAACAAGGCTGGACGAGGAGCCTGGCAGTGGGAGAGGGTTGAAGTAGGAGAGTAGAATGCGGGGGTTCCTTAGTTCCACACTGGAACTCAAGAACCCAACCCCCAGGGAATTCTGACCCCCAAAGCACCCTTTTCAGAAACATGCCTATCCCCCCACCTTCACTTTTTTCCCCCTCCCTTTCTTTGATAATTGAAAAACTCTCCCTCCACCCCTTCCCTCTTCACTGTATGTCAATGCCTGGGCGGCTGCTTCATTCTCTGACCTATTCTCACACTCACCTCCTCTCTAGAAATCTAGCCAACCCACTCCCTGGCTCACTTCCTGTCTTAGCGTTTCCACTACCTGTCTGGAATATGAATTCCCATTCTTAGCATTTCTTGAGGAAACTCTTCTCGATTGTTACACTGCGGACATTTGAAGAAATGCTTTGCTGATGTGTGGGCATATTTCTGTAAGAGAAACATGGAAGAGCTTTGTGTTTGTAAAAACACTATCTTTGATCACCTTTCCACCCCCACCCTCATCTCACAAAGAGGATGTTGCTAAGAGAGCTTAACTGGGGGTTACAGGAGAAGAAGTTTGGGTGGGCTAGGGTGAGGGCTACAAATCCAGGTGTTAGACCAGGAACCAAAAGCTTAAGAGAGCTCCCAGGAGTGCCTCAGCTGTAATCTCTGGCCATGAGGCACGGCAGTGCTGACCCAGTAGGGGTCAGGTAGCTGGATACATGTTTCCCTTTCCTTCCATCCCAGGAAGCAAGGCTGATTTTCAGGTTACTTGACTTATTCTAGGATAAGTTCATTTGCTCTGGCCATCCTGAGGATTTTGCTCGGTCTAAATATTATCATGGAGGTCCTATAGGTCAAGAAGGACCAGAGACTGGGCTGACTTTCCTCTGATTGCCTGGAACCAGCCTTGCACACAGGCCTCCAGCATGGAGTGCAGAAGCCAGGGCTTGCCTGAGTATTCCCAGGGTGCTCTGAACTGGGCCAATTGTGGAAGGTCCCCAGGGCAGAGAAAGCCCCACCTGTATGCACTTGCGGTGGTAGATAGTCTGACTACAACACGGGCTCTGGATATTTTCAACAGTTGCTTGGGATAAGTTTTCACAGCACAAGACGCAGCTTTCCTCCCCTACATTCCCCCGTTGGATGTCCTGTGTTGGGCGATGTTTTCCACAAAATGATCTGTGTCAGAGTAAACAGACTTGGTTTCTGGTTTCTCATTGACACAGTTTTCCAGCTACCTGGTCTAGGAAGAGCAGCGACCACTCAGGCAACGCCCAGTGAACCTCCACACTCACAGAGAGGAGGGGGAGCAGGGTGAAGAACAGCCACATGCCTTCTCACAGCTGCTCTCTTACTCAGGAAAGCTCTGGAGACTGGCTCCACAGCCTCCCTTCGTGAAAGCCCCGCTTAGTTCTGAGCAGCTAAGAACCCCAGCTGTTTGTAATTTAAGAAGGGGATGGGAAGCAAGAAGTAACCCCCATGAAATCTCCAAGTCAAGACACTGTTTCTCATTATTGAATGGAGGGACAGATTCACTGGTGAATCAAAACAGGCCCGTGAGAACCGGACTCTGCTTTCCTTTGTGGCTAATTAATACCAAATTGCAAAAGAGCAGCCCGACTTTTCCCCTTCATCACTCACTTGTACTCTCCAAAAAATTGTGAAAGGCAACCCCTTTCTTGGCCACAAGGAAGATGGAAGTTTCTGATGCAGTGATCCTTCTGGCAGTTGATGGCAGCTCCCTTTTTCTTGCACACAAAGCAGGTCTGCAAATGAGATCCCAGGCTCAGGGGCCCAAGAAAGACAGATGGACATTCTACAGCACATCAGGCTATGGAATGGAAATTCTGTGAAGCAACAGCCATTCCCTTTCCTCAGTGAACCTGATAGCTCTGGGGCACCCTGAAGCTGAGCTTCAAGCAGCACTGAATTCTTTTTTGTTTTCCCAGGATATTGCTCCCTCTCTCACTTAGGATGCTACACCCCAGAGAAGCCTAGAACTTAGGAGAAGGACCAGCTGGGAAATCCAAGAGTCCTTTGACTTCTAAAATACCAACTGGGGAAAAGAACAGAAACAGAGATGATGAGACAGGTAAGAGAAGAGGCCTACTCCAAGGCCCACATTTCAGGGGATTCTAACCTTCATAGAAGCCCGGGCTGCCTCCTTTTTGATGTCTTCAGGCAGAAATCCATAGAAACCTCTGTTGGACTGGGCCCTCTGAGGCAGCTTGCTAGATAGGATCTGGGGGTGGGAGGAGGGCAGCAGAACCAGGCTGTCAACATTGATGATCAGTCAAACAGTGCAGTGGGGTGAGGAGAATGACAGGGTGAGAGAGCTAAGAAATAGTGTGGTGGAATATATATGCATTTACAGGGTAATTTACTTAACAAAGGCTTACAGAGCATTAACTATGTATTGGGTGCTCTAGGGGCTTTTCAAATATTTACTCATTTAATCCACATAACAACCTTAAGGGGTAGGTACTATTAACATCTCCATTTTATAGGAGAGATTATGTGACTTGCTCACGACTACAGAACTCCAGACCTTAGGTTCTGACCTGCCTTTATGCTACACTGTCTCTCATTTACTGAGGACTGCTTTTGGATGCTGAGCACTTGGGCGAAACACTCCCTGTATGGACTCATTTTATGCTCACAACCCTGTAATACAGATGCTATTGTGATCCTCATCTTACACAGGCTACTGAGGTGTAGAGCAGTAAGTGACATGGCTAGGGTCACACAGCAAGGAGGCAGTAGAACCAGCATTCACATTCAGGCCCACAGAACCCATACTCTTACCCTTCCCGCTGTACTGCCCTTCAGTACAGAATAAATACTCTTTTCAGAGTGTATTCTCTACAGGAAGGGAAACAAGGCTTATCTCCTGACTACAGTCATTCTGCCTCATGGGGGAAGGGGAAGAATTGAACTTTTCTCTAAAAACACACCTTAAAGGGCTTTTTGTTTCTGAAAAGCCCCCAAAGCAGAGTCTAGAATGGGAAATCAAGGAAAAAGAAGCTACACTGTTACATACCCATAAACAACATGTGTGTACTACATTGGAAGAATATCAGCACCCAGCCCCACCCCAAGAATCTTCCAAAAATATTGGGGAGGGTGCTGGATTTCCTGCAGTAATTGCATGTAATGTGTAATGGGGACTCAGCTTATTTTACTTTATTTTTTGGTGAGGAAGATTGGCCCTGAGCTAACATCTGTGCCAATCTTCCTCTCTTTTGGATGTGGGACACTGCCACAGCATGGTTTGATGAGTGGTGTGTTATGTCTGCACCTGGGATCCAAACCTGTGAACCCTGGGCTGCCAAAGCGGAGTGTGCAAACTTAACCACTATGCCACCAGACTGGCCCTCAGACTATTTTATTTTAATGTTATAGAAAAAGTGACCTTACAAAGTTAGATGACTTGATTAGATGTTAGATGTTAGACTAAATTAGCTAGATGACCTTGGATTATAGCTGTATGTTCCCAATTAGGCTTAAACATATCTATTTTATCACTAATTATATCTCAGGGATTTAGGACTACATGAGTGATTTGTTTTATTTATAAGTAATACTAATGTTTTCTACAATAAGCATATATTTTTTATATAAACAGAAAAATCAATAGTGAGGGGCCGGCCCCATGGCAGAGTGGTTAAGTTCACGCGCTCCACTTTGGCAGCCCAGGGTTTCACCAGTTCGGATACTAGGTGTGGACATGGCACCGCTCATCAGGCCATGTTGAGGCAGCGTCCTACATGCCACAACTAGAAGGACTCACTACTAAATAAAAAATATACAACTATATACTGGGGGGATTTGGGGAGAAAAAGCAGAAAAAAAAAAGATTGGTAACATTGTTAGCTCAGGTGTGAATCTTAAAAAAAAAAATCAACAAAGATTAGAAACAATCTAAATGTCCTTTAATAGGGGTTTGTTTTAATACTTTTTGGCAGACTCATACCATGGAATACCAATTAGCTACTAAAAAGAAAAAACTAGATCAATACGTTCTATATGGAAAGATCTCCATAAGTATATGAGGTAAAAAAAGCAAAATACAAAACACTGTGTATAGTATGTTTATTTTTATGTTGAAAATGTATGTGCTTGTAAATGCACTGAAATTAAACAAGATTTGACACCAAAACCAGAAAGGACTTATAAGAGTGGAAAATCACAGACTAATCTCTCTCACGAGCGTAGGTTTAAAAAGGAAACACAATATTAACACATTGAATCCAGCACCATATAAAAAGGATAATACATCATGACCAAGCAGGGTTTACACTAGAAATGCAAGGTTAGTTTAACATTTAAGAATTCAATCGATGTAACAAAGCAGATTAACAAAATAAAGGAGAAAAATCATAATCATCTCAATACATGCAGAAAAAGCATCCAACAGAATACAACATACATTTATGATACCTTCAGCAAACCAGAAATAAAAGAGAACTTCTTCAATCTGATGAAAAGCATCTATGAAAAACCTACAGCTAACATCATATTTTAATGGTGAAAATTGGATGCTGTCCTCTGCTATTGGAAACAAGACAAGGATATTCGCTCACATAACTTCTATTCAACTAGAATAGAAGGGCCTAGCTAGTTAGTACAATAAGGCAAGAAGAATTAAATGACATAAAGATTGGAAGAGAAGAAGTAAAACTGTCTTTATTCACACATGACATGATTGTATGCACAAGAAATCCTAAGGCATTTACAAAAAAATAAAAACAGCTACTGAACTTTATTAATAAGCAAATTTAACAAGATTGCAGGATACAAAATCGATGTACAAAAATAAACTACATTTCTATATACCAGCAACAAACTTGAAAATAAAAATTTAAACTACCATTTATAATAGCATAAAAACCACAAAATATTTAGGAATACATTTAACAAAAGATGTTCAAGACTTCTTCAACAAAAAAGTATTGTTAAGATAAATTTTAAAAGACCTAAATAAATGGGGAAATATATCACATTCATGGATTGGAAGATTCAAGATTATTTGTCAATTCTTCCCAAACTGATCTATAAATTCAATGCAGTCCCAATCATAATCCCAACAGACTTTTTTTTTTTTTGAGAAAGATTAGCCCTGAGCTAACTACTGTCAATCCTCCTCTTTTTGCTGAGGAAGACTGGCCCTGAGCTAACATCCGTGCCCATCTTCCTCTACTTTATACGTGGGACACCTGCCACAGCATGGCTTTTGCCAAGTGGTGCCATGTCTGCACCCAGAATCTGAACCCTTGAACCCCAGCCCGCTGAGAAGCGGAATGTGCGAACTTAACCGCTGTGCCACCGGGCCGGTCCCACCCAAGAGACTTTTTTTTTAAAGAAAAATTGACAAGCTAAATATAAAATTTATATGGAAAAGGAAAGAACCTGTTAACCAAAACAACGAAACAATCTTGGAAAAGACTGCAGAACTTAAAATACTTAACTTCAAGACACTATACAGTCACAATAATCAAGACAGTGTGGTATTTGTGTAAGGATCAATGCACAAATCACTGACATAAAATAGTTCATCTAGATCCACAGATATATAGTCAACTGATTTTGACAAAGGCACAGAGGTAATTCAATGGGTAGGTAAAGATTTCCTACACACAAACAAGCTTTAACTATAAAAGAAAAAATTGATAAACTGGACTTCATCAAAATTAAACACTTTTGTTCTTTAAAAGACATCATTAAAAAAAGGAAAAGGCAAGTCACAGACTGGGAGAAAACAGTCACAATACACATATCTGAAAAAGGATATGTATCTAGAATATATAAAGAACTCTTACAACTCAATAAGACAAAACAACCCAATTTTTAAAACGGACAAAATATTCGTATAGAGACTTCACAAAAGAAAATATGCGAATGGCCAATAAGTACATGGAAAGAAGCTCAACATTTTAATCCATCAGAGAAATACAAATTAAAACCACATGAGACACCAATACACACCTAGCAGAACAGCTGAAATTAAAAAGATTGACAATATCAAGTTTTGGCAAGAATATTGTGCAACTGGAACTCTCATAAATTGCTAGTGGGAGTATAAACTGGTACAACCACTTTGGAAAGTGATTTGGCAACTTCACATAAAGTTAAACATATAGTTAGCATACAACCAATAATTCCACTCAGGCATTTGCCCAAGAGAAGTGAAAACACGTGTTCACAAAAAGACTTATAGATTAATGTTGATAGCAGCTTTATTGAGAATAGCCCCAAAATGGAAACAATTCAAATGTCCAGCAACAGGTAGATAAATAAGCAAATTATAATACATTCATACAACAGAATACTACTAGGCAATAAAAAGGCACAAGCTACCAAAACATGCTACAACATAGATGAATCTCCAAAACACTGTGTTGAGTGAAAGAAGCCAGATACAAAAGAGTGCAAACTGTATGATTTCATTTATATGAAGTACAAAGCACGCAAGAGTAATCTATAGATCAGCACTATGATTATCTCTGAGGGGACTGACTGAAAGAGTGCAAGAGGGAACTTTCTGGGGTGATGGAAGTATTTATTTTGATTGGGGAAGTGATTTCATGGGATTATACATTGTATCTCATGATATGAGTTTATCAAAACTCATCAAACTGTACACTTAAAATGGGTGCATTCTATAGTATGCAAATTATACCGAACAAAAAAGAACACTGGGGAAAAAGTAACTGCAAGGACTGTTGAGAGCATTTGAGCCTGGGGAGAAGGAGAAGGACTCGGAATACTGTTTTGAGAAGAGACTTTTTATTGTACATACTTTATACTGTCAGGATTTTATACTAGGTACATATACTACTACTAAAAAATTATATTTTAAAAGAAATGGGTAGCTATTAAGAAAACCAAAAAAACAGGGCTATGGATCTAAGGCTGGATGCAAAAACAGGGAACAGACTGTATAGCAAAAGCCCTAAGATACTGAAAGGAAAGGGGGTCTCATACTCACAAGACAGAAGTAATGCATGCTGAGATCGCCTTTCTGAAGAAACTCCCCTAATTTTTCAGGATCCCCAGGTTCTCGAAGGCATAACAGGCAAACTGGAAGAGAGAACGTTAAAAATTCATTTTGGGAGTATAACCATCTCTCTAAGCACAAGGAGGAGGAGATTATCGGGAAGAGGGTAATTTTGACGAGGAGGGAGGTTGGGGTGAAGTGTTATTTGGTATCAGTTAGGCCTTTATACAATTTTGGCCGCATTTGAAGGAGTTGGCTGCAACTGCTCACTTCATATACTCTTGTCTCAAGTGGCTTTAATTAACTTATTTCTTGAACTTTGGCTGTTGACATTTAAAAATTATGAAGCCTGAGCTCTTTAGGATCTTAGAGAATCTGAGAAGGAAGTAGGATTGACAGGGAGAGGAGCAAGTTTGCTGCCCTACACAGGTGGCCTTTGCTGAGGCTGGGAAGCAATGGCTGAACAGAACCTCCAGTCTTTCTTACCAGGCCCTGAAGGCGGTTTCCTCTGGGTTACCCTCCTTGTCTTGGCAGATTTTCTATACAAAAGATGGAAGAAGTACAAGGTGGTCTTTGAGGATCCTGTTGACACCTCTTGTAACATTTCTCTCAAAATGCCATCCATGGGTCTGATGAAGGATCAAAATATCTAAAGGCTAACACATCAGTTTCCTTTTCTATTTCATATGTTTTGAAACCACAAAACACACCCACTGAATTGTGTCAACCACCTTCCTGTTCCTTAGTGCCTGTGTTGAGTGAATGAATGCAAGAACAAACCCCCTTTTACTCTTTTACTGTTTCTTCTGCCACCTACTCTGAATCTCGGGGGTACCACGTTCACAAAGCATAACAAAATGATACTAAAATTGATTAAGAATTCCTATTGCTAGGCAATATTCTTGGCTCTTTACATGTATTAGCTCAATGAGTCTACAGAATGCTCTAAAAAGTGGGTGCTATTAACATGCATATTTTTCAGATGAGGAAACTGAGGCATAAAGAAATGAAGTAACCTGTCCCAGGTCACCTAGTTAGCAAGTGTTAGAGCCAGGATATGAATCTAGCCAGTAGGGCTCCAGAGCCAGGACTTTGCTACTAGGGACAGCCCTGGGAGGATAGGTTACTGAGCAGCTTCCAAGGGACCATTGGTGTGTCCTTCCACCATACCCAACCCTAGCCCCCAAGACCATGCCAAGTGGGCAAAAAGTGCAGCATATACCACAGGCCATTGGATGATTTCTGCCAAATTCCCTTATGTTACCTACTCTACCTCAGTCTTTGACATTCCTTCTTCTTTTCTTTTATAGTCTTCATTCGTTGCTGCCTTTCTGTTCTAAATTGAATTCTTCTGCACTATTTTGAGGACAATACGGGCTCTTCCAGCTATAAATATAAACAAGTCAGCAATTTAATTCTATATTTGGTTATCAAGTTCCATGGGGTCAAAGCAACAGTGCACTTCACCTCCGATCCCTGTGACAGAATAAAAGGGGCCCACTCGGTATCAACAATTATTTGATTATTATTAAATAATTACTAATTATAATAATTATATTTAATAACTTATATTGGATCAAGAACTCTTTTAAGTATTTTGTATGTGTTAACTCACAAAAACCCCATGCAGTAGGTATCATTTTATCCCCATTTTCAAGATGAGGAGACTGAGGCACAGAGAGGTCACAGAGGCACTTGCCCAAGGTCAGAGTTCCTGCTATCACACAGCAGTATAAGAACTTGGAACCATTATTTGAACTGGCTAGATGCTCCTTTGTTTTCTATGTGCCTACTAAATGCATGAGGTAGCACTCAGGAAAAATGGCTCCTTTTGCCCCCAAGTATGGGTGCCATGATTCTACCCAGAAAAGCTAGATTAGATAGCTCTTTCCTAGGACAAGGAGCCTGTGGAGTTTTGGCTGCCTAAAGCAAGAACTCCCTCTAGTGAGAGACAAGTGATAACACTGACAAATCACCCCTTGGCTCCTATCACTTCTTTCCACCCGGCTCAGACGGCCATTGAGGCTAGGCCTGTTCTCAACCTCGGACTAGATCTGAGCTAAGAGTAAAATGCCTGAAAGTGGAGAAGACACCCTGCCACTCCTCGCCAGTGTCAGCAGACTACAAATTTACACTTTCCACTGGTTAAGGAGGAACTCCCTGAAAGTGAAGGGGGACAAAAGAAGATCCACTCCTATGAAGGGACGACTGAGTCTAGCCCGGGGAAAGGACAGCATTTCTTAGGAGAGCTGAGTGAACCACGTCCCTCCAGGGTCACACACTCCAGCAACCACGTCCTCGGAGCACAGCTGGAGGGACTGTCAACTACTGTGTGCATACAACTATTAAGGCCATCAGCTGTTCAGAAAACTAAGGCGACACCGCCCTGCCTTCCTTTGTGTTTGCTCCGTCTCCTCTCCTAACCCATGAGCTGCACTTGCAGAAGTAATGACACTGGATGGCTTCTTACTCCACCAAAGCACTTGGACAGGCTGGAAGAGGAGAGAGGAGGGCGTGCACCTGAGGATCCACTTTAGCTGACTACCGAGCGGTTCCGAGCTCTTGGGGAACCCCGACCATCTAGCAATAGAGAAAAACCTTGAGACTTCAGCTCTTTGCATCGCTGGACCAAGACGTTCCTTGAGCGGGATTTTGCGCACACTGGTCGTTGCAGGAAGACGCAACACTCTTCAAGGCAGCTCAGGGGGCGCTGCGAACGCGGGCTTCCACAGGCTGCTCCGGCCGAGATTCCCTAACCGAGCGGACGCTCCCTTGAAACGGTTACCAAGTTGTTTCGCTGGATAAGCGCTGGGCAAAAGCCGGCTGAAAAAATTAAAAATAAATGAGTGGTCGGCCCCGCAGCCGCAAGAATAAGGAGTGATTTATCTGGAAAATACGTGTCAGTGTGGCGACAACCGTCCCTCGGAGGTAACAGTAGGAGAAGGGGCTCAAGGAGCATTCCACGGATGCCAGACCAGGCTCATGTCGCGCTTGCCGGGCGGCTGCTGCGGGGCCGGGCCGGAGGTCGCCACCGCCGCTCGCTCCTCACGGTAGCGCACCAGCCGCCGCTCCCGGCCGGGGCCGTCTGCCCAGCTGTCGCCGAGGGCACCGCTGTCCCGGAGCTTTGTTCGTCGTCACAAGCCGTGGGAGCTACCTCACGGGCGGCCGCCCCGCGCGGTGACTACGCCAGCGAAGGGGGCGAGCGCGCAAACCGGGGCCAGGTCACGCGGACTGCGACATAGGGACACTGCGGCCGCGGGCACCAAGGCGACGCTGACCGTTGACAGAGCAAGACCGCTAACGGCCGCGCGCCCGCCCCTTCCGCTCGCGCCACCTGGGCCCAACAACGCTCTCGCCCCGCCCTTCCCTCTCGCGCCACCAGCGCCCAACTCCGCTCTCGCCCCGCCCCTTCTCGCTCCGCCCGCCTGCGCGAGCGCACCGGCATCTGGAGTCGAGCTCGCGGAAGACGGGCCCAGAGGCGGGGCGGAGGCCGTCGCGCCGTGCTGGCGTAGTGCCGCTGGCGCGGGCGAGTGACGCCACGGGGCCCGTTGTCTGTGTGTGGGCCTAGGGGCCCCGGGGGCAGCGGGGGCTCCCGGCGGGGGCGGCTGTGGGTCGGGAGGGCCTGGACATGGCGCTGAGGGGCCGCCCCGCGGGAAGATGAATAAGGGCTGGCTGGAGCTGGAGAGCGACCCTGGTGAGGAGGGGACGAGGCGGGCTGGGGGCTGGGGAGGCCGGGTGAGCCCGGGACGTGCTTGCCTGACCACGACCCGCTCCTCTTGTGGTCCCCCCACAGGACTCTTCACCCTCCTGGTGGAAGATTTCGGTAAGAGCCTCTCCTACCCACCGGATCCGGGCTGTGGGGGCCCACTCCCGCGCCCTCGCTCCACGGTCAGGGGCGGCCCTTCCCGACTTCTTTCCTTCCCTGATCGCAGGTGTCAAAGGGGTGCAGGTGGAGGAGATCTATGACCTTCAGAGCAAATGTCAGGGGTGAGTAACTTGGCGGCAAGTCCTCTCCTTAACACCTCCAGCGGCTAGGGAGGGGCCCGGGGAAGAGTGCCTCTCAAGAGAGGCAGTATCAGGAACCCCAAGATGTAAAATCTCATATAAGGAACCATCCCTCCCCTTTGGGTGCCCTCCTGATCAAGCTCATGGTTTTGTTTCTCCCACTCTTCCCTCGGCACTTCCTTTTGTGTAGTAGCTTCTTCCCCCCAATACCAATCCACACCATCCTTTGGAATACAGTTCAGCTGCCTTTTCTGGTCTTGGAGCAGGAAACCAGCCCCTCCTCATGACCTAGATCACACAGTGCCTTTTGTGCAGCTGTAATTTATTAATTATTGCTTTAATGTGCTCGTGTTCCAGTGGCTTTAATCCCTCTACAAGGGTCTTTTATTGATTGGTTGTTGTGTGGCATCTGACAAGGCTCCTCTTGGGCTTTAGGGTCTTTTTTTTTTTTTAAGAGTAGCGCTGAGCTAACATCTGTTGCCAATCTTCTTTTTTCCCTCTCTTCTTCTCCCCAAAGCCCCCAAAAACATAGTTGTATATTCTAGTTGTTGGTCCTTCTGGTTGTGCTATGTGGGACACTGCCTCAGCATGGCCTGATGAGTTGTGCTAGGTCCACGCCCAGGATCCGAACTGGTGAAACCCTGGGCCGCTGAATGGAGCACGCGAACTTAACTACTTGGCCATGGGGCTGGTCCATTTAGGGTCTTGTCTTGGTGGTGCTGCAGAATAGAGGTGTCAGTGACTGAACTGAGAAGTCTACTTTGATTTCCCAGGAAAGAAGGGACCGATATGGGTGTTCATTTGCTTCCCTGGCTGCACTGGGGCCCAGGCTTTGGGCTTCACAACTGAGAACTGGTGTTTAAATTCCTCATCAGAGTTTTTGTTCTCACCTTACCTTCTGTTCTTACCCATTTCTGGGCCATCGGTTCCAGCTTTTCTTCTCTTGTCCTAGAACCATAGATTTCATAAAGACACTGGGTGGGTTCCTAGAGCACCACAGCCAGAACCTGATGCTTGAGCTGCCTGTGGCCGGCTTCTGGGGTGTGAGGGCTCAGGGCCACTTTAGACAGTGTTGGGAAGAAGCCAAGGGAGAAGTGGGATCATGGGAAGGGCACTTAAGCGGTAACACAGTACAAGGGAATAGAGGGAGTAAGAAAGGGGATGCTGATTGCCTTCCCCCACTTGACTGGTCTAGCTCTACCCCTTACTTTCCCCAGCCCTGTGTATGGATTCATCTTCCTGTTCAAATGGATCGAAGAGCGCCGGTCTCGTCGCAAGGTCTCTACCTTGGTGGATGATACATCAGTGATTGATGACGATATTGTGAATAACATGTTCTTTGCCCATCAGGTCTGCTGGGCTCTGTGTTCTGTGGGGAGGGTGGGATGTTGCCATTTTCTTTGCTTGGGAAGTGGAAGTGGAGGAAGACAGGAGGAGGACATAGGCAGATACCACCGGTGGTGGTTATAAAAGCTCCTCAGCAGAAGGAACTGAACTCTTATTCGTTAGAAAAGGGAGTATCTTTAAAGCTGAGTCCACTCTCTGTGTCCCCAGACACTTAGTGGGTATTTACTTGAATGAACAAATGTTGGGTGCTGATGAGGGTTTTTGTTCAGATATGACTCTCCTTCTCTGGGTGCCCATCCCAGATGAGTGTGGGCTTGGGGTAAGGGATGCTGTGTATGGGTGACTGTTCTTGGTTTCACAGCTGATCCCCAACTCTTGTGCCACTCATGCTCTGCTGAGTGTGCTCCTGAACTGCAGCAATGTGGACCTGGGACCCACCCTGAGTCGCATGAAGGACTTCACCAAAGGCTTCAGCCCTGAGGTAGGCCACAGTGCCTTAAGCCTGGCTCACAGCTGGGTGGGCAGATCCAGCCACCAGGGCCACTGGTAATGCCACCACATGGCATCTGACCACTACGAGGCTTTTTCCTTTTCAAATAATCATTTACATTACATTTGACCCTTTAATTGTGTAAGGCAATTGGTTTTAGGCATAATTGTCACACCTAGAGAGGGAAAGAACATTCCTTAATGTTAGGACTTTCTTTGTCAGGACTTTTTCTATCAGGCAGTGTGCTCCTCACTGTCCACTGATTACTGTGCAAGGCCGGTAGAACCCACATTTTTGGCGCTCCAGAGCTCTCTTCTGCCCCCATTAGTCCTTCAGGAGAGTTCACCTGTGCTTATTCAGGTTCCTGCTCTTTTGAGCTTTATTTCCCACCCAGAGGCCCATCTGAGAAGTTGTTCTCATGTGGCCTTATTTTCTTCCCTCTAGAGCAAAGGATATGCGATTGGCAATGCCCCGGAGTTGGCCAAGGCACATAATAGCCATGCCAGGTGTGTGGGAGCTCTGGGAGCTGATGGGTGTGGGGGCGAGGAAGGGTTGTTCCATTCTGGGCCCTGACTGTGTCCTTCCCCAGGCCTGAGCCACGCCACCTCCCCGAGAAGCAGAATGGCCTTAGTGCAGTGCGGACCATGGAAGCTTTCCACTTTGTCAGCTATGTGCCTATCACAGGCCGACTTTTTGAGCTGGATGGGCTGAAGGTCTACCCCATTGACCATGGTAGGCACTCTGAGCTGGGGGCCCGTTGGGTTTCTCTACCTACCTTCTAGGGAGCTGGGGCTCAGGGTCCCGAGGTGCTTGGGACCCAGCGGCAGGGGGGTAGGTATTGAGGACATTTGGCTCTGGCTGGATGGTACTATGCACTACATTGCTGACTAGCCCCTGACTCCCTTCCCTGGCTCAACTGCTCTCCATCCTCCTTCCCACTCCTGGCCTACCCAAACTCAGGGCTTCCCACTTGCTGACTCCTCGTCTTGGTCTTCCCTAGGGCCCTGGGGGGAGGATGAGGAGTGGACAGACAAGGCCCGGCGGGTCATCATGGAGCGTATCGGCCTCGCCACTGCAGGGTAAGGGCCCTGTGTCTGCCCTACTGTCTGGAGCTGTGCCCCCATTGGGAGGGACACAGGAAAGGGAACCAAGGTGGAGAGAAGCCAGGTGATTTGTGCAAGGCCACAAGGCAAGATCAGGCTTTGATCTTGGGCTCCCAACTCCTTGCCCTATTTGCCACCCAGGCTGCCTGTGGCCTGCTTCGGGATAGGCTGGGGAGGGGAAGGCCTTGGTGGAGCCCTGGGTGGTGGTGTGCTGGCTCACATCCTGACAGGCCCCTCAACACAGCTCATTGGAAGGCACCAGCTCCAGTGCCTGGCGTGCATGGCCAGCTGCTGCCCGCCTGTTGGGGTGGGGCCTGTACCTGTGGCTGCAGGTGTGACTTCGGGGAGCCCTGCCAGGATATCTGCCTCAACCTGATGGCGGGGCCCAGGCGGGAGCTGCTCTCACGGCTGCGGCTGTGACTGCAGGGAGCCCTACCATGACATCCGCTTCAACCTGATGGCGGTGGTGCCCGACCGCAGGATCAAGTACGAAGCCAGGCTGCACGTGCTGAAGGTGAACCGTCAGACAGTACTGGAGGCCCTGCAGCAGGTGAGTACCTCTCCTGTCTGGTCCCTGCCCAGCCCAGTCATCCCCTCCTTCCCCACACTGGGGCATCTGTCTCTGATTCCCAGATCACTCTCTAGTGTGGATCTGGGCTTCAACTAACCACTCCTTTCCTTTGTTTCCTTTGTGGGAAAGGTGGGACGTGGCGTAGGGAGGGAGAATAGCTTCTAAAAGGAGATTTGGCTGTTGTGTTTCCCTGTGAGTGAGTAGCTGTTCAAGGTAGTGGCTGGGGTCTGCCTTCACTCCTCTGAGCCTTGGATTCTGTTTTCAGCTGATTAGGGTAACACAGCCAGAGCTGATTCAGACCCACAAGTCTCAAGAGTCACAGCTGCCTGAGGAGTCCAAACCAGCCAGTGGCAAGTCCCCCATGGCGCTGGAGGCAGGCAGGGCCTCAGCAGCCTCTGAGAGCACCCACACAGGTACTGGAGGTCTTGGGGCCTCTCATGGCCTCAGAACCACCCCTTCATAACTTGATCTGGGAGGACCAAGCAGAGCAAGTCTTTTGGGCAGTGGTTCAGAGGCTCCTACAGGAGATCTGCAGCCTGGTCCTGCAGCCCTCTCCCCTTGGAACATGGAGGGAGAGCACTCCTTCCCTAAAGAAAGGGACCTGTCAAAGGCTGCCCTTACCACAGGCTCCTGAGCCTTGTCTGTAATGTATACTCCCTTTCTGGTTTTCTCTAGAGGCTTTTTTCTTCCTGCCTCTCTCTTTTTCCATCTCGTCCTTCTCTGGTCTTGCTGTGGGCCTATGACATAGAGCTTGCTGAGTCCCATCCCACCAGCTGGCTCAACTGTCCTCTGGGA